GAGAGAGAGAGAGAGAGAGAGAGAGAGAGAGAGAGAGAGAGAGAGAGGAGTCCATTTTATATTGACTAACTACTCCTGGCCATGGGTGTGATTGTCTGTCCTGGAGTGTGATTGATATATTCAGCAAGGAAGACAGTCCATTGAAGAAAACTGGTTTTCTTTTTCCATGCAGGTGTAGATTACACATACCTTCTTGATAGGGTTGAGACTTTCTGTTTACTTTTCCTTATTGCTGGCATTTTGTCTGATTTGAACATGTGCAGGTCTTATGTGTGCTGTCATACTCTTTGTGTTTGTGTGTATCTGTCTGTTGTGTCTGGATGGCAAAATATTGAAGTCATCAACATTTTGGCTCTTAAAAATTTTCCCATTTCCTCATCTGTATAGATCTCTGAGCTTTGAGAGTACAGGTTTAATAAAGACTAGGATTTGATGCTTCAGTGTCTCTCAATCTAAGCACATTTCTAGTTCTAGGACTCTCCTGACTTTCCCCACCTACATTGTCCATTTCCACATTCCTGACTTATTCAGTGATTTCAATTATGTGCACAAATTTAAGGATTTGGAAATAAGATTCACCAAGAAGAGAGAACATGCGGTGTTAGCATTTCTGGGCCTGTGAGCCCAGGTTAGTTGGTTCAGTGAGTTTTCTTATGGTGTCCTTGACCCCTCTGGCTCCTATAGCCCTTTCTCCCCGTCTTCAGCAAGATTCCCAAACACCACCTAATGTTTGGCTGTGGGTCTGCATGTTTCTATCGGTTGTTGAATGATGACTCTGATGACAATTGGGCTAGGCACCAGTCTGGTCACAGAAGATGGCCAATTCAGGCTATGTGTGTGCTGTTGCTAGGAGTCTTAGCTGGGGTCATCCAGCTAAGTCTGTAACTTCCTGGGAGATTCCCTTGTGCCAGGTTTTTACCTGACCCTGAAATGCCCCCATCTCCAGTAGTCTCTTTCAGTACTTTCCCCTGTGCTCCCCCCTAACCTGATTGCTCATGTTCCCATCCCCACCCACCATCAGTCCACTCACGCAATCTCTTTTATTCCCCATTTTTCTTAATCCAGAGTGTTTTAGATCTTTTAGGTGTTTCCGTTGCCCTTTCATTGTAAAGTATATAAATGAGCACTCATTAAAGATTGTACAATGTGGGCTAGATTATTAAAGTTACCAGAAATAGTTCACTAAATTTTTAATTTAGGAAAATAAATGTGGTTACTGAATAGTAAAAAAGAATTGTTTAGCTCATGTTCTTTCAACACAACTTATTTTGTGATTTATTTTGTGATTTCATGTATTATTTTTCTTTTTTCTGATAGGCATTCAAGGATATGTTGTATTCAGCTCAGGACCAGGCACCTTCTGTCGAAGGTAAGATGAATTAACTTCTAGGTTTAGTAACAGAAAAACCTCTTTTCAAGGAAAAATATTTTAAATGCTGGACTATAAAATGAACACTATAACTTTCTCTATTATGTATGTCTTTTTGGTTTTGATATGACTTTTTTAAGTATTTTAGCTTTTGTTTGTCTGTTTCACGCTTAACCTTGGATGCTTGCGATGAACCTTGTACTATATTCTTGAGTCATCAGTTATTGATTGGATATAAAGTGCTTCCCTTAGGCTCATATGCAAAGGTTTGATCCTAGTTGGTGACACTATTGTGGGAAATTGTGGCAACTTTTAGAGCTCAGCTGGGGCCTATTTGGAGCAAGTAGATCACTGGGAATATGCCCCGGGTGGCAGACCCTGTCCTCAGCCCCTAGTCTCTCAATGTTCTGCCATGCACTGAGCTGCTGTGTTCCACCAGATGCTACCTGCCATGGCAGAACAATAGAGCTAGCCAGTCATGGACTAAAGCCTGAGAAACTGTAAGCTGAAATCAACCTTTCTTCCTTTTAAATTGTTTGTCTTGGGTATTTGGCACAGTGACAAAAAAACAAAAAGCAACAACAACAACAACAAAAATCCCCTGACAAACACATCATCTTAGGACTGTGAACCATACTGGTTTAGTCGAAGGTTTTTCTGTTGCCTTCATCAATCAGTGGTGTGTGAAGTCCTTCTGTATATGTGTTGCTTTTATTGGTTAATGAATAAAGAAGCTGCTTTGGCCTGTGATAGGACAGAATAGAGCTAGGCTGGGAAAATTAAACTGAATGCTGGGAGAAAGTAGGTGGCGGAGTCAGTGAGAAGCCATGTTTCCCTGCCAGAGACAGAAGCCAGCCACTAGATGGAACTTTATCCAGTAAGCCACAGCCAATACAAGAACTAACCAATACAAGCTAGAGCTAATAGGCCAAACAGTGATTTAATTAATACAGTTTCTGTGTAGTTATTTCAAGTCTGGAGTGGCCAGGAATGAATGAGCAGCCTCCTACATCACCTTAGTGTTTATATCCATCCATCTATGAAGTCTTAGTCCATAATTAGTTAAACCAATACAACTTTTCTGTTTATACAGTACGTGAAGCTGTATCACCAAAGTCTAAAACAAGACTTTAGCTTCAACTTTTTTTCATTTTATGTCTTGCAGTGGTGGGGCATGCCATTGTATGCTTCCATAGAGGTCACTGTGTAGGTCGCAGGGATTGAACTCAGGTCGCCATACTTGGCAGCAATGCCTTTACCTGCTGAGCCATCTCACCAGCCTCAAGCTTTAACATTTTTAAAGGGAAAATATTTATTAGGACTTCATGATATCTAAAAAGTCCTTTTGTCTTCTTTCTCTTTTTCTTTTTCCCACAGGCCTTAAGTTTTAGTAGAGTTAAAAGCTTTGATGCCAGAGAGGAGTATTTTTATATTAAACTGGCGATTACCAGTTATGTCTCACATGCAGCAAACCAGGGGTTCTTTTTATTTACATAATTTACCATAATTATCTGAGTTCACAAGCAATTAAAAAAAAGCAGCACTTTTTCCCTATCTCAGACTATTTGAAATAGGATTATGGGGTGGAACATGGGCATTGTATTGCTTGGAGTAGGTATGCTAGATACCATAAGGTTTTATGCAGCTGCCAGAAGCTAAATTTTAAACCATTTTACAGTGATTCTCATGTATATTTGTATAACTACAGTAATGTCAGTTTAATTCATACTACCCCTCTAGACATTAATTAGCCCTCAAGTTAGTAGGTTTCTTAAATTCATTGATAATTTGGTTAGTTTATTTATATAAGGAATTGATATGGGATTCCTCTCTGTATGCCATGAATATGTTTTATTACCACTGGATAATAAAAAGAATCTGCTTTGACCGATGACTCAGGCATATTTGTAGTTAGTTCTTCTTCTTAAATTAATTCATTTCTGTTAGTCTGTGTATTGCCATGTAACCGTGGAATTACCTCATTTTCTACATGTCTTCTTTCATCAGTGGCTGGCTGGGGTCTTTCTCATTCAACAGATACATGGCATCTCCCTGACTCCACCTTCTTTCTGCCTGCTTTTAGTTTAGCTTTCCCACCTACGTATATTCTGCCCTGCCATAGTCCAAAGCAGCCTTTTATTAACCAATGGTAATAAAACTTATTCACAGCATACAGAGGGGAGTCCCACATCAAAGAATTTTTTTTTTTAAGACAGTATCTCATACAGCCATGGCCGACTTCAAACTCACCAGATAACCTTAAACTGGATCCTTCTACTTCTGCTCCCTGAGCATTGGGATTATAAGCATTTGCCATCACTGTAGCATGAATTCTAAATTGTCTTAATAATAAAAACCCAGTTATTAGGGGGTGAAAGGCTGAAGAATCAGAAAAACAGAGCAGCCAGTCACTAGAGTTCTTACTTCTACCAATGCTCAGACCAAAAGGAAGATCATGTCCTCAGACTGACTGCCTCAGACTGACTACCTCAGACTATGTCTGAGCTCCTGTCTCCTCCTGCCTTATAGTCCTCTCTCCTCCCAGCCATTTCCCTTCCTGTCTCTACCTCCCTAGTGCTAGGATTAAAGGCATGTGGCTCCCAAGTACTGAGATTAAAGGTGTGATTCACCACCGCCCAGCTGTTTTTCTTTTAGACTGGATCAGTTTCATGTATCCCAGACTGGCCTTGAACTCACAGAGATCCATCTGCCTCTGTCTTCTGAGTGCTGGGATTAAAGGTGTGCACCACCACTGTCTGATGTCTGTGGCTAACTAGTGGCTTAGCTCTGAACTCTTACCTTGAAGCAAGTTTTATTTGTTAGATTACAAGCAAAATATCACTACACATTACATCTTGTCATATATAAAGAATATTTTTAATAGTATCTAATGGACATTTACTTTTAAAATGTTTATTATTGAATTGAATAAGTAAAAACTGTACTGTTATTTAGATATGTTACTTGTTTATAGCTTATTGTTAAGATTAAAGAATGTTTATAAAATTTGTGAATTTGTCTAATTCTCTAAATGCAATTTTTGAAAAGATTTAAGATAGCACCAGAGCAAGCTTCTAATAAGATTATAATAAATTATATAATAATAACTACTGTATATATGAAAGAAGTAACAGCTGAGGAAATCTGAGTAAATTTTGGACTTTGACTAATAATAACATAGCATTATTATTAATTATTAATTGTGGTAAACTGTTATATAAGATGCTCATGACAGGAAATGGGTGGGGATAGATGAGAACACTTTGTACTATCTTTGTCACTTTTTTTGGTAAATTTAAAACTATTTTAAATTGAAAATTTTATTTTAAAAGAAAATAGATACCATAAGGTTTTATGCAGCTGCCAGAAGCTAAATGTAGATTGAACTTTGCAGTTTTCTAAGGTTCCAAGGATAGTATAAAGGAGAATATAATTTCAAAGTGCACATGAAAGAGCTATGGAAATGGCTCAGAAGTAAAGGTGCTTACCATGCAAGCCAGATGACCTGAGTCTGATTTCTGGAGCCCAGGTAAAGGTGGTGGAGAGAGCTAACATACAGTTGTTCTCTGACCTATGCACATGTTGTGGCATGTGCCGCCACATACATACATCATACATATACCCACAATATCAAGATTTTTTTTTAATTTAAACGTGCATGAGGCAGATGTATATTAGTTGCTTAGGAAAGGTGAACTTTGAGCAATAAATAAAAGGTTTCCTTTGACCTCTATAAAGAATATTTGGTTTATATGGTGGATAGGATCTCTAATAATAGTTTCCCAGAAAGCATGAGACACTGAGTTTCACAAGGTTGCTTCCTATGATCCAAGGATGCAATCTAAAAATGTATTACTATGATCCACAAGTGCCCTATTTGGCTTTATGTTGATTTCACCTCCTGTACCCTCCACTTGCTTGCTAGCTCCAGCTTTGCCTTCCTTTCTGTCTCTAATCTGGCCAAGCTTGGGCTTGTATTAGAACTATAAGTATGGGCCACTGTGCCTACCTCTAGAATACAAATCTTTCGAGATCAAGTTTTTAAAATTTTTTTCTACTGTTTAATATTTAGTATCAAATATATATATATATATATATATATATATATATAATCTTTACACATTCACTTGGTTCATGAATGAATAAGAATACATAAAATTTTTACCTTCAATTTTATTTGAAGCCTAAGTATTGTCTTTAGGGAGAAAATCAACCTAGTTTGTTTCTTTATGTAGTGATTTTTATATGTTTGTTTTGTTTATTTCCCTTCTCCTGTGGGTGGACTTTTCTGCCCCACAAGCCACGCCCCAGATATCCACACAGAAACTTAATATTAATTATAGATGCTTGAGTGATAGCTTAAGTTTGGTTTTAGCTAGCTCTTATAACTTAAATTGATGCATTTCTATTAATCTGTGTGCTACCTTGAGGCCTGTTTACCTCATGCACATACTTTGTATCCTGCTCACTCCATGTCTCATGGAGTCTCCTCAGACTCCTGTGACTCCTCCCTTCTTCTTCCCAGTGTTCTTGTTGCCCCCAAAATACTGCTTAGTTATTGGCCAGTCAGGTCTTTATTAGCAATGAGAGCAACACAACAATGCACAGAAGGATTATTCCACAGCATTCTCCTTTAGAATACAGGATTTTACCTGCTGCTTAGATGATCGGACATTTTGTTTGTTGTGTTTTATAATGTTGATGTAATTTGAAGTGACAAATACCTTTCTTTAAAATGAGTAAAACACATCCTAATTTTGTGACATTATATTGTTTTGATGCCCAAGACATGACAAATTATTGAGGCTATATTTTCTTTGCAGGAGGATACTTTTTTATGTGCTTTAAAAGATATGTGAAGTGTAGGTATAGACTTTAAAGATCACATGTGAGTTGTTAGGCTTTTTTTTTCCCCTCAGTGTAGTTAAAAATTTAAATAATACTAAATTAAGGTAGAAGGAATGGCCGTTTTCCTTTTCACTATTTAATAATGCATTCCT